TCAGCTGCACATCCATGTTCTGACTTGCAGTCTCGCCTCTTCTCATGTGTTCCTTGCTGTGTTAAGTGGTGATACGTTTTTGATTGTCTTACTGTGATAAATACATGTATTAGTTTTACCTGCCATAATTTTTTGTGTCGACGTTTTTTGACCCTCTAGGTTACATAGCTATTCAGCTCATCATTATTAGCGTTCAAGAATGGGGTATCAACTTAGTGAATTTGCATTGTGGACTTAAAAGCTCCATACTTACTAACAGAAAATGTTTGAAGCTAATCTTACTGTAGAAAAAAGTTATTTGAAGGTGTTCTGCATGCTAAATAAAACATACTATTTACTTTTTATTCTTTTAAGATGGATATAAAATCAAATTCAGTATGTCATTATGTTTTTGTTTTCTTATATATATGGTAGGTTTCACATCTTTTAACGCACAGAAATCATAAATCTGGAAACCACTGCACAGTTCATCTCAGGTATAGGATTACTGATCTGAACCCTCCAACATGTAAAATGAGAACGAAGAAGTTTTAACTACATATGTCACAGCATATGTTGCCAAACATCTTTCCAAACATCCTTGAAAAGGAAGATTGAATACTGATTGAAATTGAAATATACACCTGTTCAATTTTTTAAAAAATTCTAACTGATGAGATACAATGACATTTTAATTTCAGGACAAACTGCCATTGACCACTTACACCGCTACCATTGATGGTGACCGTTGGACAGGGGAGGCTATCCTTCCCAGAGGATATTTTCCACCAGCTGTTACCAAGTTCAATGCATATGCAATCCATGGTGAGGGTGACAACCGAGTCTATGAGTCCCTCTATCCAGCTACTGGCTCTGAAACAAAGCCTGATTTGTAAGTATTTGAAACATGGCAAACTTTAAAATTCTAATACATTTTTTTTTAATTTCATTAAAATTTAACTTAAAAAAAAAAAGAAACAGGATGTAAAAACATTTTTAGACTTGCAGATTTGTTTAAAAATTAAAGATCATGGCTAGTTCCTGAAGACTTTGAAACCAAGGCCTGTTGCTACCACATGACTTCCTCTTTTGCCAAAAGTGTAATATCATCTGAATAGGATCAGTTTTATATGTTTTCAAAAATATGTTTAAATATGAAAATATTTACACACTAGCCTAAATCTCGTGTGAAATGGCATTGGTTAGCAGTGGTCAGAGTATGAAAGTGGGACCATTGTAATCATTGAAGGACAGTCCAGTGTGCATACCACACAACCAGGAAGCTATCCTTGAAGTGCTCTCATTTTTTTTTCATATCTGTATTACTTGCTAAGGCTTTTCCGTGGTGTGGAATACAACCAATGAAAAAAACAGGAGGTAACCTTCAAACTAATTCAGTAACACCGTCGAAAGGTCGAAACAATCAATGTAGATAGTCGACGTTAGTGTTGAACATCAAACACATTTAATACTCAAGAAGGGAACCGTCAAATGTCACCTACTTCGAGCCATCTATATAATGCTTCTTCTTCCTACTGTGATAAGAAAAGCATCTTGTTTATAGCGCCCCCTAAAGTGTTCTTACATTTTAAAAAAATTTATGTCATCTTTGCTAAGTAAAAACTTCCCCCCCAATTCCTGAAACAAATAACTAATTTCTAATCCTGCCATAACATACTAAATCTCTATAACTAAATGTAGGAAAGATGTTTTTTTGCACAGTTATTCTTAAACTGGTGTAATGCCTTGCACAATGCTGATACTCAACTGAATTTTACTGCTTTAAGCTCACCAAAGAAGATCGCCTTGGAGCTTTAAAGTTTGAGAAATATTTAAAAATCTTCCCTTTTTGATGAGTAAACATTCTAGTTTGAATATTAGTAAGTTTATTAAAAAAAAATGAAAATCCGAAAAGGACAATTTTTATTTCATACATTGGCTCTTAACCTAAAAGTAATCCTTAGCAAAGTGTTGGTATTGAGCCTTTAACTAACACTGACTTATAAATAACAGGGTTTTTGATTAACACAGACCTTACTGAAGAATTGTTACTAACCTTTAAAGCTTACACTGCCATAAGGAATTATTGTTATTATTGTTGACGTTGTTTACTGAATAAAACAAATTTTGTAATTTACGCCAGGTTCACGGGCCAAGAGTTGTTTGGTTTTTTAGCCATTTTGCTTTACACAACTCTCTTTCATTGTGTTAGTGGTCAGTATTAAATACTTGACTATATAATATGTATTTTCCTATTTCTCAATTGGTTTTCCTACATTTTTTTTTTATTCTGGATTATTGCGTTTAATATTAAAAGGAAGAATGAATGAGAACAAGAAAAGAGAAATTGTAATTAATTTTTTTATATTGTTTATATGAGTATCTTGAATGATTCCCCCTTGACTAAGGGAGTGAATGTTGGAATGTTATGTGTCTCATGAATCTGGCGTTTGGGTGTTGGTGTTGTTTATGATTATTAAATGTAGCATTTCTAGTTAACAGTTATGCTTTCAGCTAATTTAATGTCTTTCTTTTTGTTCCAGCCATAATCTGCGTTACTTCCAACCAATAGACATTAGTTCACTGCTCAATAATTACAACCCCAGTGACGTCTCCGACTTGTGGAAGCCTTATGTAAATCCAGACTCTGTGGTTGGTTAAAAGGTTGAATTTTTTAATAGTCTATATATTCTCCTTGATTTATCTTGATGTATGATGTAATCAATTTATTTCCAACCTGATAACATATTAATTGTATCAAATGTGTTCATTAAACTAATTTTTTTAAAGTTGATCCCAAATGGTTTTAATTTTTTTTTTCTAAGAATACAGTAATAAAGGAGTCTTAATGTTTGGTAATGTGAATGTACAAATAGAAATAGATTATTCAATATCTTAAATACTTGAATCAAGATTAGCAACAATCAAAATATCCTTGGACACCTATTTGAATAATGCAAAACGGGTTTTAAGCATTAAAAAGCACCAGGAAAATTTCTTTTTACCATCTATTCTTTTGAATTATTGTGTAAAACAAGGAATTGAAACATTTATTATGATTAACAAACTTTCTAATGAAGGCAAAACAAAATGTACAAATTAGCAACTAGATTAGTAGATGATAGATGTTGAGATAAAGTCATTGACTTGCTTAGGACGTAATAATCTTTTGTCTTTTTGTAGTAATGTCTGTTTTTTTTATAAGATAGATCAAAACAAATGTTTTACAAGGCCAGTGTCATTGATTTATCATCTAGGTCTATTGCTTGGAAACAGCTGGTAATGGAATGGATTGCACGATGGCATAAAAGTGTGTCTCTCATGGAGGATTTAATAGTTAGTTTCATTGCGGAACATTCTCAGCTTTTTAAGCCTTTCTCATCTTTTGGTTGCTCTTGCTAAAAACTAAGAAATTCAAATGCTTGCTCACATTTGCTTGTCAAAAAATGTTTAGCAGAGTTCCTTTTCATTCATTCAGTTTTTATAATCAGTGAAACAAACATATTTGATATTTTGGGCTTTTGGCACATGGGCACAAATTAGGCCATGTTCTGCCCATAATCCCCCAAAGGTTACTTCCCCGTTATAGGTCAAGTGCTAAAAGTTACACAACTAAGTTATTAAAAATAATGTCCACTCACAACTCAAATAGTGAAAATTTTTATAATTTAATAAAAATCAGTTGTAAATATTTATATATTTACAAAAGTACTTTGCCCGATCTCAACTCAAAATTTTAGTAGTCAACCTCATCTCCCGGATAAATCCCAGTATTTTCCCAGGATCAACATAAGGCCACTCAGGTCATAGTAAGTTTTTTATGTGGCCCATACACCTTAATGAGTTTGATATGGCTGCTCTAATATCTTGAAGCAAACAGTTATGTAGGTTATAATTATGAAACATCTCAAAATGTCAAAGAATTTTTTTGCTTTCTAAATTCATCACTTCCTTATTAATCATTCTGTTTTGAAAGGCACAACATGTCCTAAATTGTGCCGATGTGCCTAAAATCAAAACCAAACAAAACTCTGTTTTGAGAGTGATACTGTCAAAATACTGTTAAAGCCTTACTCTGTCATTGAATATTCAGACTGTCTGGACCACAGATAAAGCTAGTTGCCAAGTGCAAAATGAAGAAAAGATGGTCTCCCATCTAAATGTACAAATGTCTTCCACGTATTTTGTGTGTGTGCATGTCTGCAGTAAAGCACATGTGTAATTTGTTACATTATTTAAAGAAAATACAATATCGACTGGTACATTTATTTTAATTCTACATAGGCCCTGCGTGAATTATATGTGGGAAGCGTGGTCGAGAGGCTAAGTGAGCTTGAACTTGGCTTGTCTTGGCTACCTAGAAGGAGTTTCGACACCCGACTCGGGCAGAGTTGCGTTTACCTAAAGGCAGCACGGAAAACCAACTAGAACCCCCCCTCCCCCCACTACCACCACCACCAAATAAGATTGGACCAAAGCGCTCTGAGCATGCTATAAGCATGAAAGTAGCGCTATATAAAAGCTATAATAATAATGACTAAATCAAATCATTTTAACTTATTATTAAAGGGCTCCTGAATTTTTCTGAAATTTCAGTGCTCCTGAAATTATTAAAATCTTATGAAAACTCATGCAAATCTCCTTAAAAAACAGACTATAGTCATTTCGGGGTGTCACTCAGTATGGAAAACGCCAATCCAACTCGCGATTTTAAAAAATGGCATCATTTAATGAAAATGGCAAAAATAAGGCAAATTTTAACCAAAAGAAAAATACTTAATTTACTTTAATAGTCACTGGCATACAAATATAGATGTATATCTTACTCGACCTCTTAAAAAAAGACAAAAGCGATTGTCGTGCGCGCGTGAAGTTTTCTTTGGTGTTTATTGTTTATTGGTGTTTTAGCGTATAGGAAGTAGTTTCTTTTAAGTGCGTTTTGTTGTCTAGAATATTGTGTGTGTGTGTGTTTACGTTCATTAAATGATGCCATTCCCGCAAGAGAGAAAGCTTCTTTTGTGAGCTGGGAAGCTAGTTTTGTTGGTTCCCCTTGTAAGGGGTGTTAGGCTTTGGGCTATGGGAAAGTGTGTCGTCTTTCCGCCTTTGGAGTTGTTATCGGTGTTGAGGTGTGGGGAGTTGAGATTCTGTTGGGCGCCGAGATGGAGTGTGAGCGTGAAGGTGTGTTACGGAAACTTGTTGGTGTGATACTAGACTAATTATTAATCAAATGCTAACTTCAATGATATTGATGTATATGTAAATATGTTTGAAAATTACAACTAAGTATAATTAAATATTGTTCCTGTTGACAACTGTTGTTATTCACTAAATGTTCCGTTGAATAACTGTTATTCAATGTTTGTATTTTACATGCTATTACCTTTAGGTTCTTGTGTTACTCTGTTCAGGCTGGGGATACGGGACCATAATATCATACCCTCCCTAAGCGACAAAACCCATCTGACAGCTACATTTTGCAAGTCGATAGTAAATCTAAAAGACAGATCTGAATGTTTATCGGCTTTATGTTGGAGAACTACTATCTACTGGAGATGGCTCGTCAAGTTAATTTGATCGTGATTTTGTACTTAGTAAAGTTTGAATAAAATGCAAAGACGAATTTGTTTTCTAACACAAAATCTTAATCTTAATTTTCACTTATTATCCTTATCGCTATCCAGACTGGGCCCCGCGCAAACTGCTTCGCATGGGGCCCCGCAATCTGTAGGACCGGCCCTATGATGAGCGACCTCTTCCAGTTTTGCATGGGCAGTGCCACGTTCCTATTTTGTTGACTCAAAACCGTTATTGTTTATAATAATTTGTTGTCCGGTGCTCGTTTTCAAAAATACACTAAGAAAGTTAAAATAAGGGACATAATATTTAAAATGAATGATTTTAAAATAATTATCTAGCTATTTCCCTTAGTCAGTCTATTTTTACCAAATGTGTATCTGTAAACTACCATCATTAGTATATTCAAATTAATTCATCACGCATACAAATTATTTGTTTAATAAACTTAAAGTAAAACTTCACATCTTTCAGTTAATTATAAATAATAATTAATATAATAATAAAATAATAATAATTAATGAAAAAATGTGTTTTAATTTTTTTTTTAAAGTATTGCATTATAATAAGCAATGTATGCACATTCTTGCCCTTCCTTGTATAATACCATATGATATAATTATTTGTACTGGTAATTTGGTTTGACAAAAAAAAAACACAGGAGTACATTAACATTTGTATTTTGCATTCTTCAATCTGTTCTGCTTCCTTTTTCTTTTTCATTCGTTTAAAAAACATTGAAAAAAGGTACTTGAAAAAAAAATAAAGCTTATATTAAGTGTGTAAGTGTATTAAGTAGTTTGTAACAGTCATTTTTAGTCCGAGGAAATAAAACAACAAGACGACATTCTGCTACTGGTCTGTTACGTACATTCCATTGTCTTCCTGTGAAAGCGAGAATCGACTACAAGGGGTCCACACTTTTGTCATCTGTACATCTACAATAAAGAAATGCCCTTGTACCGTAGTGAACTGATCTCTCTATATGTTCCTGGGGAGCGGTCTGGCCTTAATCGACTTAACGCTTCCAGTCGTGTTTCGTTTCTCGCTTGTGTGTGATTATTTTTTTGTAAGTTATTTATAGTTGCACCTATAGCGTTATTGTTATAGTAGTCGAAGAGGTAGACAACTAGAGTCAAACTGAATTTCCATTCGTTTGAACGAAAACAATGATCTTATTTTTAAATGGACAATGATACACTGTAAATAGTCGACAAACAGCTAACTGTGCAGTACGAGTCAAACAGGCAATTTTAGACAAACAGATCTAATAACTGGCAAACGTGGGATTATAGGATGCATGGTCGTGCGGATATAGGCTCTCGACTATCGTTTGATCGTCTAAGTGGCCCCGGGTTCGTACCCTAACCGCTGCCACCCCCGTCGACCTGCGGGACGTTTGGACTGGGGTGTAGATTATCTTCAACTCTGGAGGAACATTCGAAACATGTCAAACCCTTGTTACTAATATTTCTTCAACTATACCCTCTACTCCTCTCAGGGGCGTAGCTCGGAATTTTCCATCATTTGGGGGCCCGGGGGGTACCTCTTTGGGTGCCCCTGTATTTTGCGTAATATTTAATATTTAATGTAAAAAATACTAATTTATCTTATCTTATCTTATATAATACAGACGTTACTTCAAAAAAGAAAATGATTACGTCCTACGCGTCATGCATTCAGTCATGCATATTAATCAATGACTTAAATTCTGCCAAGTCACTGGTTTTCCTGGCTACCTCAGGCAACCCATTCCATGCTCTAATAGCACTAGGGAAGAAGGAGTATTTGTACAAATTTGTCCTAGCATATGTGATGAGGAATGTGCCTTTATCTTTGTGTCTTTCTGAGCATTTTATTAATTTGGCGGGGGGGGGGGGGATTTTTTTCAAATTTTTCCCCTCCTCCCCCACCCTAGCTACACCACTGACTCCTCTCACCTCTTCGTTTTTCTTTGATTCTGCGAGTAAAAAAATGTTTCAGACACTGACCTATATAGATATTTGGTTTTAAAGCTTGCTGACCTAGATTAGAAGCCCATTATACCTAGGTCTGTGTTTAAGCTAGCCTTCGACTCGATGGGATACGGGATTATATCTAGATCGCAAAAAATAGAAGGATACACACAATTCATTAGTTCTGTCTTTGTACGTCTGCTATTTCATTCAATACTGCCATATCTAGTAGACCTGTTCTAGCCAACTTCTAGCTAGGCGTAATAATATTTTTAAAAAGCGTTAAACACCAGAAGCAAGTGATTCAACCAATGTAATACTGTGTACTGACGTTAGTCTTGATGACCTAGATAAAAAAAAACAAAAACGGGGGCATCAGATTCACTGGTCAGGGACTCCTGTCTCCCTTAACACGTGCATGTCCCGTTGCAATACCAGAAGTGGGCGGGGCAACAGTCGATAAAAACGTTGACCAGTGCCGGCTAGTCCAGAGAGCCCTGACAGAAAATTGCGCATGCTGCCCCTGGAATGATTGACGAATTCGGAATAATTCCCGATAAATCCATCCCGGGGATGGCACTGGGCTCGCGCCTGGAACCACGTGACCGCCTGCAGAGACACGGGGCGAGACCGTGGGAGAAATCGTCTGCAGTTTGTCACTGACTCTGCACGGTTGACATGGGCGGAGGCAACTTGTCTCAATTATCTCTTGTAGCCAACGTCCAGTGTTATCGTTATTTAAAGGCCCCGGATGTAAAGATTTATTGATACAGGAGCAATAAAATGGAACTCAGTTGATGTGAGGTTTAGGTCATAATGTGTAATAGATCTACCAGAAATTGTCAAAAACTAAAGTCTGCGAGCTAACATTTATTTATAATTGTAACACTTTTATTGATTTTTTTGTTTAAGTTAATATTGTCCAGTAGGAAAATCACAATAGTGACGTTTTCTCATTTCACTGGCTCCTTACCTCCCTTACTGCGCTTATAACAATGCTTCACACAAATGTCAGCCTACATGGACTGAATGTTTGATTTCCCTAGTTAAAATTTATTACGACATAGTTCATTGTAAAAGAAAAACTCGGGAATATCATGGGTATTCGTGACGACATTCTGAGGTGCATATCACACAGTTAGGCCAATATTCAATTTACATTATTAACTCTTTCTCTACGCAGCTATTCTCCACGTTCTAACGATATAATTAATTTTCCTCATTTATATTTCACTATCCTGTTATGAGTAAACTTTAATAACTTTGGCTGTTATTAGAAAATGTTTTATTTGGTATAGAATTAAATAGTATTGAATGCTCTTTTTACACAATTTTAATTGAAGTTTATAAAACCAAAAATTAATTTAATTTCATGGTGTGAAATCATCATCATTTCAATACATCATGGTCTTACCAGTCTGGACATTCGTCCAATATCATGGGCATACACCCCACATCATAGAAATGTATTCAAGATTATGGACATTCATCCCAGATTATGGACATTCATCCCAGATTATGTACATTCATTCCAGATTATGGACATTCATCCCAGATTATGGGCATTCATTCCAGATTATGGACATTCATCCCAGATAATGGATGTTCATTCCAGATTGCGGACATTCATCCCAGATTATGGACATTCATTCCAGTTTATGGACATTCATATCTCACAAGATAGAGATGCAATCCAGATTATGGGCATATACCTCACATAATAGAGATGCAATCCAGATTATGGGCATATACCTCACATGATAGAGATGCAATCCAGATTATGGGCTTTCATCCAAAGTTATTATCAAGAAAGTAAATTTCAAATTCTCTGCCCCTCCCCCCCCCCCCCCACCCTAGCTACGCCACTCTGTGTATTAGTAAAAATCTAGAATTTGAAATATTTGTTTAGTGTTTCGAATGTTCCTTCGGAGTCGAAGATTGTTACATCCTTGCCCAAACTTCCTGCTGGACGGCGGGGGATGTCGGTGGGCAGGGTTCGAATCCCGGGACCATTGAAATGATAATGCAGGTAGTATAGTACACGACAAGACAGCCTAAATTTAGATTTTATAAAAAAATCCACCGAGCTGTTAATTAGTATGTATTCTATGACCTAGGAACAGACAATCAGGTCTCCTATAATTCTGTGTTACTATATCTTGTAAAATAACAGTTGAAAAGAACATACACATTATATATTCCGAGCGTTTAAAAGAAATATTATTCACACTGTATGTTTTTATTTACGTAAAATAAAACTATCTTTTTAACGATGATAATGTCCAATATTTGCTTTAATTTTTTTTTTCTCTTTTTTGTTAAAACGTGATATATAATTGTGCAGAGAAATGGTAATGTAAGTTCGGTCAGTACTCTCCCTTGAAGGCAACAATTGCTATAATTAGATTATGTCGAGTTTGTCTGAGTAGAGGCGGGAATCCACCTGAGAAGGGACACACACGCATACACACACGCACACACACTCACAAAATAAGGACGACAACTTCGAACTGCATCATACATTTTTTATTGTCAGGGAACTTGGGTCTCCGCTAAATTTAACAACAAACAAGATCGCACTTAACAGTAGCGTCGTTTCGAGGGCTCGGGGAACTGGAGCATGTATAGTGGAGCAACACCCTACCCAACCCCCTTTCACTCGAAACCAGTTTCTGTCAGCTAGACGTAGATCAAGGTCCCTGGTGCTATCCAG